AGGGATTTTTGATATCTCTTTTTAGCACTCTGTAAATCGGAAAATACTGTACTCGGCCAGAATTTTTTTTATTTTAACCAAGTTTTTAGGAATAAAAGGTTGAATATATATGAAGTGAATGATATATGAACAAACCCCACTGTAAAAACCTTCAGAATTAGGAATAAAACTGTAAATTTTGGTGCAGGTGCTACTGAAGTGAAGCAAAAGAGCCCAAAATTAACCAGTGCATGAAAAAACTGTGGTTCTAATCTATTTTTAGTTTTTGCTAATAGTCATAAATATATGAAAATGTAAACTATTATTATAAAACAGGCACAATGATGAACTTTCTCCTGTACGTTTGATTGGTGTGTCGTACTGCCCTCTGGTGGTCAGTGCTGGAATTGTCCGCGTGGCTTCTTCTCATTGTTCAGCATTGCTTGAATAATTTACATTTACATTTAGTCATTCAGCAGATGCTTTTATCCAAAGCGACTTACAAATGAGGACAATGGAAGCAATCAAAATCAACAAAAGAGCAATGATACACAAGTGCTATAACAAGTCTCAGTTAGCTTACATGTAGCAAGGGTTTTTTAAATCATATAATAAATAAAAAGAAAACAAGATAGAATAGAAAAAGAATAGAGCAAGCTAGTGTTAGAGGTCTTTTTGCTTTTTTTAATTGTATAATAAATTAAAAGAAAACAGATAGAATGCAAAAAGATTAGAAAGCAAGTGTTAGTTTTTTTTTTTTAAAGAAAACAAGCAGCAAATGAATAGAGTGCAAGTCTAAAAGGGACAAGTTTTTTTTTTTTTTTTAAGAATAGAATTAGAATATAGAGTGCTAGAGTTAAAGGGTCAATTAAAGATGGAAGAGATGTGTTTTTAGCCGATTCTTGAATAATTCATTAATTATTATTAATTAATAATTAATTGACTCATAATCATGAGGTAATTGGCTTTGGTTGCTGTTTTTTGTCATTTCGGCTCAGTTTACATGAGAACATGCTGCCCCAGTATGTAATTTATTAGGCTACAGTACAGTTCTCTATTATCAAACTTGTTTCTTGGGCCGCATGTAATTGGGTGGATGACGGGCAATATTTGTTCTTTTGAAAAATGTTTTTGTCAAACCACAGGAACCAAAAATATGGGGTTAAATTAGCTTGTAATATCCATGCATCTGTAAAGAAATGTATTTCAAAAAAAGTTAACTAAACTAAAACCATATTTAAAAAGTGAACTAAAATAAAATAAAACATATAAAAACATTTTATTTCAGCTAGTTGCTATAAGGCAACATTTCTCATTTTATTTTAGTTCAACTTGATTTTACTAAAAAAAAAAACTATATTTAAAAAAACATCAAAGTTCCTTAAACTTGAACTAAAATGAAGATGAAAATGGAAAATATAAAAGTAAAAACATTCAAAATACTGATAAAAACTCATTTCAAAATATTAATAAAAACTATAACAGTACCTCAATAATACTAAAATAACACTGGGCTGGTGAACAGAAACGACAACAAATTGAATTTGTTTTTAGAGGTTTTTGAAGTGAATCTAATGGAGACTTTCATTTCATTTTTTTAATGATTTTTTTGCCATGCTACAAAAATAGAGTTGGCACTGATGGCAGGGGATGTAATGGTGTACATATCACAAAATACACAATATTCTGTCTTTTTTTTCAAAAAATACAAACATTCTACTAAACTGATATCAGTACCCAATATATCAAATGCAAATATCAAAACTAGTTTCAGTACAACGTCCGTAATTGTGAAATACTCGCATAGGAATGTAACCTCACACACACACACACACACACACACACACACACACACACACCTGAAAGATCCCGACATTCGTTCAGTTCCTCCGATTTGGCAAATGATCTTGATTTTGACATTTATTTCATTAGCACTCATTTGTTTCTAAGCTTACCGAGTGTTGTTTTGTACATGTGAATGTTCCTATATTTGCACACTCTCTCAAAAAGGTAGACAATAACATGATAATAATGCAACTCAAGCATACGATAAACTTTACAATAGAAACTTTATATGAACCGGTTGTCTAGATCAGTCCGTCTGCTCCACACGCCGTAAACAGATTTGTCTTTTGTTTGGAAACCCTTACGAACATTCGAGCGATACAATCACATTTGCAGCACTGCAAACATCCTCCAGGTCCTTCTGAAAGCATCTGATGCACGTGATGACCTGAAGCTCGCGTGATGTTTTTATAATCGACCTTTACAACACTGTGCTGTTTGTGAAATACTCAGAAAACAGGCCTATAGTGATGAACGTACAGTAGTGTTTGACAGGGATGCACTGGTTCAGTTTATCTGATACATGTTTTTATTGTGGCCAATGTTATGAATATACACTGTAACCCTGTATCCACTGATTTTAAAGTTATTGAAGTATATTTAACAAGGAAATACTATTTCCAGCTTTCAACTAAAAATGTCATATTTAATTCAAAGTGTTACTTGCCATTTCTTTTGTTATTGATTGTGAAATTTACTAGCAATTTCTGAGTGAAAACTATGAAACTTGTTTCTACTCAGGGATGCACTGGTTCAGTTTATCTGATTCATGTTTTTATTGTGGCCAATGTTATGAATATACACTGTAACCCTGTATTCACCGATTTTAAAGTTATTGAAGTATATTTAACAAGGAAATACTATTTCCAGCTTTCAACTAAAAATGTCATATTTAATTCAAAGTGTTACTTGCCATTTCTTTTGTTATTGATTGTGAAATTTACTAGCAATTTCTGAGTGAAAACTATGAAACTTGTTTCTACTCAAAAAAAAATTATATATATTATTATTTTTAATCTGAAATAAATATATATTTTTATTTTCGGGGAAAAAAAGATGATGGTTTTAAGATATTCTATATATGAATAATCTTTAATTTTTTTCAGTGTAGTTCTTTTTTTTTTTAAATGACAGTGAAGCTCAAATTGAACAACTATAATGCTTTTCATGTAAAGTTCCATTTTTTTCATGTGTAATAAGACTACAGTTTAGTATATGTATAACCTGTTATAGGAAAATATATATTTTGTTAATATTTATTTATTTTAAGAAATCTGAGTTAGGGAATAATTAAGTCTTAATTTTATCTGCTTCCAATATTGGCTGATAACATTGTCCATTACCAATACACAGTGCATGACTAATATTATAAACTGTACAGTTTCTACATTTGAAACCCCTTTTAAACCAGCTGTAGCACCAAACGCTCATCAAATATATCAGGGTTTCTTAGCAACTGAGAGGCGTGAGAAAGAGCAGAGCTGCTCTGAGACTCACTGAAGCGTGTGTTCGGTCGACAGACGCAAGCGTATGGCTAAAAACACTCGTCCACACGTACACGGGTATTTTTATAAACGCAGTTTTTCCTTCTTCCGTTTTAAAAAAAATCTCCGTCCACATGAAAACGCAAACGCATGCTATGAAGCACTGTCAAGGGCATGCCAAACCAACAGGTGGCGATATAATCTCAACCGTAAAGCCATGTTGGCCAATCAGAAGCCTGAAAAAGGTTCCAGTAGGCGGAGATAACAGCGCAGGCTCTGACGTCACAAGCCAAAAACTCCGGTTTCGCCGTCTACACGATAACAAACACTGCAACCGGAGTTTTTGAAAATCTTCACCCTGGCAGGCGTTTTCAAAAATGTTCGGTTTCAGTGACCTGGTGCTGCGTTTGCGTGTGGACCAACGGCACACACACACACCAATTTATTAAAAATAAGCGCGTTCGTGTGGACAGGGCCTCACGCTAGCAGAGCAGAAGGGCTGTGGAGGGAGAGCGAGTGTTTACAGTGACGGCAGTGTACCATGTGATTCTAGAATACCGTAGTGAGCATCTTTTATTGCTCTCAAGTGCAAAATGAGTGACTTACATCGACACAGTAACCACAAGAAAGACGTATCTCGAACACTTTCGATATTTGTGAAATAGAGAGTAAAACATCACAGCATTGGTGAATGAGGTCTGCTAAACCGTCGTAGTGTTTCCTCATCTGTACCTGTTTGACTTGAACGTTTCAGACCTGCGTCTGTGTGTGTTGAGCGTATGAATGCAGATCAGTGCACTTGTGAAGTACTAAATAATGTAGTACATATACTTGAACTACAGTATATATATACAGGCAAATCTCACAAAACCTGTCACGTCCAGGTCATATTTCACCCCAAATGAAAAGAAATACGAACTTACATTTTGCATGATGTTTTTTTTTTTTATAGAAGTCTCTTCTGCTACCCAAGTCAAAAGGGTAATATTGTGAAATATTACTACAATTTAAAAGTTTTCTATCTGAATATATTTTAAAATATTTTTAAAATCATTGTAATATAATTTTTTTTATATATATATACTTTTTATATATAATATATTTGCTGCTAAATTATTAGCAGTTATTATCGGTGATCAGCTATTAGTAATAGTTCTTATTATTATCAATAATGAAAATGTTTTTGCTGCTTAATATTTTTGTGAAAACCATGATACATTTTTTTTTCAGGATTCTTTAATGAATAGAAAGTTTAAAAGAACAGGATTTATTTGAAATAGAAATCTTTTGTAAAAAAAAATTTCCATGTATTTTTTTTATATATATATAAATTTAATGCATCATTGTGGAATAAGTATAAATTTCTTAGGTACCCTAAACTTTTGATCGGCGTTACATCACAGTTTCCACAAAAATACTGGGCAGCACAACTGTTTTCAACATTGATAATAATCAGAAATGTTTCTTGAGCAGCAAATCAGCATATTAGAATGATTTCTGAAGATCATGTGACACTGAAGACTGGAGTAATGATGCTGAAAATACAGCTTTGCATCACAGAAATAAATTACATTTTACTATATATTCACATAGAAAACAGATATTTTAAATTGTAATAATATTTCACATTATTGCTGTTTTTACTGTATGTTTGGTCATAAGTCTTTGGTGAGAAAAAAAAATCTGAATTATTTTGAGTTTGCATGTGTAAAAATGGCTTACTTTGGAATATAATTATTTATTTCTTGATATTCAGTAGTGAAATGTGACCTAAAGGTGTTTATGGTGAGATAAACTTCTGGCTGGTCGGGTCACATGGGCAGGTCGGTACTGTTGTGTCGTGTTTTCCTGGATGTGCCGTCGTCCCGTGGCTGTGCTTTCTGCAGGCTGGACATGGCAGCCGTGCGCTCGATGTCGATGACGGCGTACAGCTCTGTCCGGCGCGTGGGGGTGGGCGGCAGGGGCGTGGTGGGGGGTTTGGGGGTGTGCTGGAAGCCGTTTAGAGACGGCGATTTGAGTTCCTCCTCGTGGCTGTTGGGTTTGCGGGTTTCCCAAACGGGCGGCAGCGCCGGCAGGTTCTCGTAGTTGAGCAGCGCGGTCCGCCGCTGGGCTGAGTTGTTAGCGTTGTGGGCGTCTGGGAGCGGAACGGGAGGTCTGTTGCGTCTCGCACCGGATCCGATGATCGGCGGCACTCCGTTATGAGTCTCATGCGTCTCCTTGCGCTCGTCGCTGTCGTAGCCGGTGTCGCAGTCCGTGCCGCCGTTTACAGTCTTTGCGGGAGAAGTGGCATCAGTACTGGAACCCGCCGCTCCTGCGTCCTGCTCGCCCCGCTCTTCCTGCCTGTCCTTGAGCAGCATCTGTCTCTGGACAGGCGTAGGGCCTAAAACAAACTTCACGCCCTCCGGCTCCAACACCACGTGCGGCTCCAGCTCATTGGGCGACGCTGCGGCTGCGCTCTCTGGATTGGACGTCCGGAGTTCCAGAGGGGCGTGGCCACCGCCGCGAGAGCGCCGCTCCTCTTGTAGACCCGTCGTGTTCACGTAAGTGTGCACCTGCACAGCCGCCATTCATCAGAAACAGAAAAAGATGAAAAAGAGTTTTATGGTTTCTTATGAAAATATGAGCAGCACTTGTCCGCGTGAAATCTGCTGCCAAAATGGCATTAAATTATCCATTTAAAAAGGCCATAATAAAACAATAAATAAATAAATAAATTATACTTACTACTTAAAATGTAAAATACTATACTACTGAAATACTAAAAAAAACTTAATACTTAATATAATACTTGAATTGATAAAATATATCATTTAAAAAATTTATTATAGTATTGATGTTTTATATCGATATCTTTAAACTTGTTTATATGTGTGTGTGTGTGTGTGTGTGTGTGTAAATGTATCAAATATATATAAAATAATGTATACAAATATTTTATATTATATATATATATATATATATATATATATATATATATATATATAATATATATATATATAATTTATATATATATTATATATCTAATATTATATAATATAAAATATTTCAGTTTTATCTATTTTAGTATGTCAAGTTAAAATGAGAAATGTTGTCTTGACAAAAAATAATAATATATTGGGTAGTTATTTTTTTTTTTTTTCTAGTAGCATTTTTTTATGATTTTAGTTTTAATCAAGTATAATAACATTGTCTTTACAAAAAAAAAACTCAATCAACATGTCTCAAATAAGGATATATATATATATATATATATATATACATAATACATAAATAAATAATTTATTTAAATATTATTTATCTAATATTATATAATATAAAACATTATCAGTTATAATATATTATTGTTTATCTTTATATATGTTGTATATTTGTTTAAATTCATATGTATATATTTATACAAATTTATGCATGTTCAAATTCATAAAACGTAAATATATAATATAAATATACAATTTATATTTTAAATAATCTTATATGTATATATATAACCATAACAAATACATAAAACATTAAAAATAAAACGTAATATAAATAATAAAACAAACATGATAAAATACAATTTACATTGATTTTGATAACACTTTACAATAAGGTTTCATTTGTTAACGTTAGTTAATGTATTTACTAACATGAACTAACAGTAAGCAATATATTGTTTGTAACATTTAATCATCATTGTCAAGTTCATAAAGATACAATTGTTCATGTTCACTGAGCACTATCTAATGTTAGCAAATACAGCTTTTAATTTTAACAATGTTTTAGTAAATGTTGAAATTAACTAGGCCTGTCGCAATAATCAATATATTGTCTTATCGCGCAATATATGTACATGACCTCAATAATTTTTGGTGACGCAATATATCGCCCATTATATTTACTTAAAGATTAATGTCACCATGTGTTGTACATTCCACTTGCGCCTGTGTCTTTTGCAGCTTCTCATACATAACGTGGTGTAGTCATGAGGTGCTCATTCAAATTTAAAAAATGCTTCTATAAACAAAGTTTCATCTGCAGATATGGTCTTGTTTAGTGATCTGTGTCTTTGTGCATACGGACATCTGACTGCTGAGTAGTGGTTGTGTTTTTCAGCAATAGTGTGCACCATTAATTTACAGAGAAAAGAAGGTCAGGGAAAAATCTGTAGATGGAAAAATCTCCATACAAGTTCTTTGTGCATTTTTCTTTTTTTCTACTTGTTACTTTGCACTTTTGTTAATTAACAAGACTAATGAATGTTGCAGTTTAATTGTTGATGTTCATGAACCCTTACTGTACAGTGTTACTGTATGTGCGTTGCGTACCGTTTCATCGTTGAGCAGCAGTGGGTGTGTGGACTCCTCCCCTACTGACGGTAACCTAGTGCTGCCCACTGAAGGGTGGCGGCTGGATGGCTGTGAGGAGGCGTCGCCGAATGACGGGTAACGGCCGATCCCATTGGCTACCGTTGGGACAGAGTAACCGGGAGCTGCAGAGAGAGCGGATGAGGGGTTAGTGAGAGACTCCAGTCTGAGCGTGAGGACTGGAGTGTGTGTGAGTGTGTGTGTGTGTGTTTGTGTGTGTGTGTGTGTGTACTGGTGGGAATGTGAGGCGTCACTGGAAGTTCAGGCTCTAGAACGGGCTCCTCCACGACACTGATGCTGTTGTTGTGCATGATGTCCTGCAGCATGTTAAAGATCTCCTCGGCCCGCGCACACTTGAACGCAAATATCCCTGAGAGGAGAAGAGTGAAGTATGAATGTGAATGACACAACAATATCTGATAGAGAGTGACCAGGTTAAAAGAAAAAGCCTCACCTTGACCGGTTTGGCAGCGCCGGCCGCTCTCGAAGGAGAAGAGGTTGGAGTCGTAACCATAGCGACGCAGGCAGAGGTAGGGCCACTTAACGGCATCTCGTTTGCGCGTGTGCAGAAAGAGCTCTTCCTCCGTTAACTCCATCACACCTGAGCCCAGCTCATTACCGTCATCATCCACGTTTATCACCTACACACACACACACACACTCAGCATCTACACACCTCTGAACACAACTTAAAATACATGTTATGAATTTTTAATTTTAATAATTTTATATTATAAAAATACAAGATACACAAAATATATATAGCTAATTGTAGAACTTATATTTTTACATATTTTAAATAATTGTATTGATTATGACAAACAATTTATTAAAATCAAATAATATAATAAATAAAAATATATTATTATAATATATAATTTTAATGTAATAATATATATATATATATATATCATTTATTTTGTTTTATTTTTCAAAGAAAAGATTTGGGAGTCTAGTTTTTTTACTACATAATTCCCATAATACTTCCAGTTGTGTGTGTGTGTGTGTTTTTTTTTACTATTATGATTATTATTATTATTTCTATGTTCCATATTTTATAATGACTAGTCTAAACTGTCCAAACTTTTGCCTGTAGTGCACAGTAAGCGCTTATTAGAGCACTTAATAATGTGTTAGGCCAGAGAAATGAGAACGATTGTCTCTGTAACACATGAACTCTGTTAAGCAGTTCTTCACTGCAGTATGTGTGACAGACAGACACCTTTAGACCGAGAGATGCTCACCTTGAATTTGTTGTGATGGTTGTCAGGGATGATCTCTTTATCGGGACAGCTACAGCAGCTCCCCATGGCGCCTTTAACACACCATCGGACCCCTGCACAAGAGATAAGAGGGATGACAATATGGAAAGAGAAGCAGTTGAGATGGAGAAGAACAGGGAGACATAAAGAGAGAAAATAACACTTCAGAAACATCAAACAGTCCTGTGTTTGCTAGGCTGTTTATTTAGAGGCTGGTACCATACTGAAGTCAAAATATCCACCCATCCCTATACGTGTCCCGTTTCTGTAGATGTGTGTTTGCTCTGATGGTCCAGCAGAGAGCGCTGCAGTGCTCACCTACATCCAGCCATCAATGATTCTGCTCGTCTCGCCACACACACCGGCCTCACAGCTCAACATCACACCTCCAGCACGTGTGTGTGTGTGAGGGACAGAGATCCGCTTCCTGTGGACAAAAACACACAAAACAAACTTGAGGACTCATTTTGTTACACATTTTGAAGCACATGTTCCTAGTGAGTAGGTCAGAGAAATATACATACATATACATACACATACATATACATATATATACATACATATGTGACCCTGGACCACAAAACCAGTCTTAAGTGTCAATTTTTCGAAATTGAGATTTATACACCATCTGAAAGCTGAATAAATAAGCTTTTCATAGATGTATGGTTTGTTAGGATAATATTTGGCCGAGATACAACTATTTGAAAATCTGGAATCTGAGGGTGCAAAAAAAAAATCTAAATATTGAGAAAATCGCCTTTAAAGTTGTCCAAATGAAGTTCTTAGCAATGCATATTACTAATCAAAAATTAAGTTTTGATATATTTACGGTAGGAAATTTACAAAATATCTTCATGGAACATGATCTTTACTTAATATCCTAATGATTTTTGGCATAAAAGAAAAATCGATAATTTTGACCCATACAATGTATTTTTGGCTATTGCTACAAATATACCCCAGCGACTTAAGACTGCTTTTGTGCTCCAGAGTCATATATATACACATATATACATATACCCGGGTCAAAGACATTAAGATGTCCGCATCAAGAGAAATTTACAAAAGTGATTTTATGTCCATAGAAAGCACATTAAATGTAAGTAAAGTGTCTACTTTTAAGGTTTCAAATACGTTTTTGGAGAATAAAATGTCAATAATGTTACATTGTCATTCAGTGTAACACAATA